GTATTTTTTTAAATCTTGATTCCTTTAAGTTACATTTATTGGTAAAACAGCAGTAAAATCTTCATTGCACTCACATTTTGTGTCTGAAATTTTTACGGTGAAACTCAGACTACAGTCAAGACAGGGAATATTTCTGGTAGACCATTGTATTTGAAAGAACAAACCAAGAAAACAAGAAAACTTATTAACTTTTGCACAACAAGGCTTTAAATTAGTTAACATATGTTTCCACAATTTGATCACAGTCCTCAACTCTCATATGATTGGCTATAACACACATTCAGGAGTTCATGTTTTTCTGAGTATGACAACAGATAGGTCAGAGGAATGCAGTTGTAACATTTTATAATGTTGGTCCATGGTACAGCCAGGGCACTGCACACTTCACACAGTGCCTCCCATAGCTGATGAGAAACAGAAGGTTTCTGCTTAACATTATTCAATGTACATTTTTTTTATTGGCTTATTACTAGTTTTTTATGTTTCATTTTTGTTTCAGTGGAGCACAAGGAGAGTACACTGGTCTGAGAGCCATCAGAGCGTACCATGAACACATTGGAGAAGAAAACAGAAAGGTAGGACTTTTTTCATTGATACTTCACCACGTGAGCTTCACTTTATGAAGTCTGTGCTGAAGGTGACAGCCTAACTGCCAAACCCAGAAAACAAAATTAATTACTATTTTTTCTTTGGTACAGTAATTTTCAATATATGGGAAGGGTGAAAAATAATAATGCACCTTGAATGGAAATAATTTGACATTTGGGCACATTTAAAGACTTTAGGTAGCATTTCCCACCAGAGAGGTCTTGCTATGTCTACTCATTGTAATTTATAGAATTATCATACCCAAGGGATAAAGGATACTTTGAAGAACAAATAGTACTCTCTGTATTTTTGCACACTGCGTTAATGCAGGCAATATTTTTCATGGGGAAAATCTGAGCTTAGGTTGATATATATCAGTGGGTGTAGAATGCATATTAACCTTAGTAATCTCCCCCCCCCCCCCCCGTTAGATCTGTCTGGTGCCCTAGCTGACTTATGGTATGTGGTATCTCTCATTCTCTCATATTGTGTCCTTAAGGTATGCCTTATCCCTGTTTCTGCGCATGGCACCAACCCTGCCAGTGCTCAAATGGCTGGTTACCAGGTGCAAGTTGTCAAGGTGGAAGATAATGGAAATGTCAGCATGAGTGACTTGAAGATGCAGGTATAAGATTTAAGAGACAGTGCCACCGACACAGCAGCAAAGTTTCTTTAGAAACTTACACTCTTTATTGATTTGCAAAACTTTCCCAGGGGTTTCAACGAAAGCCAGTTACTGGCGGCGTTTCAACATTCCGAGTGATTGGACTTGAGCCAGAAAAACTGGATCTAGCACACGAGGTCGAGGCTTTCTGGCAAACTTCCCGGAAAATAAAATTGGTTTTTCAAGAGCCCAAATTGGACGAGTCAAATCCCGATAGAAAAGTTGTTTTTCTTGGGAAATTTACCTGTTAGTCTTGACTTAAGAAATCGGTATATTTCCCCCGGTTCTTTACATAATGAATGAATAAAGTACTAATTGTAGTCGAATTATTACTTGCATAAAAAAGGGGCTCATGTAGTAGTGTTTAATATTACTTAAGAGGATATCAACGATGTATAATAACAAAATAGATCAATGATAATATGGTCTGTAGTTAACCATTTTTAATGCCAATGAATAAAACTTTGACTCTAGTAATGTTTTGTCAGGTTGAGAAGCACAGCAAAGATTTGGCCGCCATCATGGTAACATATCCTTCCACTAACGGAGTCTTTGAAGAAGGAATCAGGTAGGCGCCAACAATTTTCATATTCATATAAACTTTTGAAGTGTTGGTTTTGGCTAGCGAGGAAAACTGTTGGTGTGGAAATGGATAAACTAGGTTGGGAAACAAAAAATTCCGTTTGAGCTTGCCTTGAATTATTAATATTTTACCTCGTTATTCTCTTTATTGACTAAGTTTGAGGGTGGACCCGGTAAAGGGGGAGTGAGGGGTAGGATAGTAGTCAATGGAGGACGTGATGCCTACAAAAAGTGATACTTCAAACCACTCTTCTAGACACAATTGCTTTAGAGCTGCTCGTCTAGCACACCACCTCACCCCACTCCACCCCACTCCACTCCGTCACCCTTATTTTATCTTGTATTGCTCCATCAGAAATAAAAAGCCACATTTTTCCGAGTTATTTTAATATGTCTGTTGTTCACCTTTGGTTAAGTTATTTTTTCTTATTTCGCCCATTCAGAACCCTGTCAAACTCTTGAAGCGAGGAGGTTGACTAATTTATGTCGACTGCGACAAAATTCTGAGATAAGTTTATTACGTCAGGGGTCAAAAGACGACATTGATTAACAATAACTTGCTTGTTTTAAATCTGATAGGGACATTTGTGACTTGGTACATGAACATGGAGGACAAGTCTATCTCGATGGTGCTAACTTAAATGCTCAGGTTTGTTGATATTTATTTTGTTAATAGTACGAGAGGCATCGCGTGCACAAAAGATGGAACAAACCCTTAGTTCCGATTGACAAACCAGGATAGGCCCATCTGGCCCGACTTTCTTTCACGATAAAGAGCTTAAGCCGAATCTCGGCTTTATAGCAAATCCTTTACTGATTACGTTTTCTCAGTCAAAATCGCTGGGTGTGATCATTCCTTGGTACATACACGAATAGCAGGCAGTAGACACTAAATCGAACATAACAATACGTCAGCAGAACGAAACAAAGATATACCAACGTCGTCTAGAGAACGGAAACAAGTCGAGACGATGATTTGGGTCGATTGAAGTGAGATCTTTGCAAAATCGTGATGGGCTATTTTTTTAGCGTCTTTTGTGTTTGAAATTACCTTCTAATAGTTACTTGTTTCTTGTAACAGGTTGGAATTTGTCGACCAGCGGATTATGGCGCCGATGTTATGCACACAAATCTCCACAAAACCTTCTGTATTCCTCACGGGGGCGGAGGACCTGGTATGGGGCCTATCGGAGTGTAAGTATACAGTTTCACTCTTGGTATGGTTTGACTTGGTGTAATTGAAAATCGTGATGTCACTCTTCTTTAGTTCTTTACCAACCAAATGTAATCAAGACTTCCGGACTTTTTTTTTCTAATGGCTAAGGGTTAGGATTAGCTCTCCGTGTAGTGCCTGGACAAAACATATTTTTTAGAAGGGATTATGTTGATTGTTGTCGTTTGCTCGTCTGTGAATTGAAGATCAATAAAAAGTGCACTGGATAATGAGGAAGACGATGATGAGTCAATAACAAACTATTCTAAAGATATTAAAACGGATGATTACTTTTGACTCCAAGTTTAACCGTTTGTTTAATTCCCCCGCAGGAAAAAGCACCTCATTCCATTCTTGCCGTCCCATCCCGTGGTTGCACCTCAGAGTTCCAGAGGTGAACGTACCCATCCATTTGGGGTCATTTCAGCAGCTCCATATGGCTCCAGTGCTATTTTACCCATTTCCTGGTCGTACATCAAACTTATGGGCCCCAAGGGTCTCGCACATGCAACTAAGGTTAGAATCATTTTTTATCCTTTTTTATGTTATTCAGATATTTCCTTAAAGTGGAGCCATCTACGAGTAAACAGTATGGCATTCGGTTAGAACAGTTTTCTTGTAGCATGATTTGTGTGTAACAACCTCAACTAGGCTAGCATGGCATTTTCCTCTTCGTAGATTATAGTTTTGTGATCTTTTTGCTTTTTTTACTTTATAGATTGCAATTTTGAACGCAAACTACATGGCTGCCAGACTGAAGGATCACTATGATGTTCTGTTCATCGGAAAAGACGGTAATGTCGCTGTAGATTTGGAAAAGTAATTTTGGATCTTCCATTTAGTAAACTCTCTCGGGACTAGAAAAATGTTGTTGAATAGATGTGTGCCTTTCAACTGGAATAGAGTTTATGTCTACTTAACAGAAGTGTCCAAAAAGTGTGTGTTTGACTGTTGGTGACTTTCAACCGTTTCTTGACGTTTTTATCTTTTTTCTTTCTACCAGGTTATTGTGCCCATGAGTTTATTGTTGACGCCAAAGATTTCAAGAAATTTGGTATCGAAGCAATCGACATTGCTAAGAGACTTCAGGATTATGGTAAGGAAATGTAACGACGGTCTGGATGAACCAAACAAAGCCAATACAAAATGAAACCGTCTTTCACGGCTCAAAACACAAGATAACATGTAACTAGAACCGATATTGCCGGGAAGCATGTTGCTTGTTGCGTGAAAACGAGGTTCTGATAAAAAGCGCGGGAAAACGAGTAACGGGTGCAAAGCGCGGGAAAATATGTAACACGTGCCAAGCGCGGAAAAATATGTAATCGGTGCCATGACAACAAAGAATCTTCTGGGAGCGTTGTGATCGGTCGCCTAGGTGTTTGGGCAGACAGGGGTTGGTCAAATGGGATTATCATGTTTTATTTTACGAAACAGTGTTATAACTGTTCTCTTGAATAGAGATGATAACGTTCAATTTTTCAATTTTACGTTAGGTTTTCATGCGCCCACTGTATCTTGGCCAGTGAGCACTGCCCTGATGATCGAGCCCACAGAGAGCGAAAGCAAAGCTGAGTTGGACAGACTATGCGATTCGCTCATAAGTAAGTAAATTCTATTTATTCTTTAAGTGGAAGTACTAATTTTTTGAGAGCAAATTCAAGCAATCAAAGAATCTGCTCGTCAGACAAAAAAAAATTCTTATCATATGAGGTTACTTGAACTTGAAATATGGCCGGTTTTTCTTTCCTTTATCGCTGTTTTCCTCTTAGTTTGCCTCTGGACGTCTGATTTGGGGAGGCAACTTTACATTACAAGAAAGCGATAGTTTACCATTTCGCTACTTTAAGTAAATGCGGGCAGCGAGGTGTGTGGGTGTGAAGGGAGAGGAGGAGTGAAAAAGGCTGAAAGGTTTATTTTACTTCCTTCTCTTTATTCCCTTACTTTTTTTTTGCCAATTGTTAATCCAACACAGCACCGTCTCAGTCAAAATGGCAGCTTTAGATTTTGTGATATATTAGTTTGCTAACCAAAAAAATATAAATGAATAATAAAAAATAAATAAATAAATAAATAAAAATAAAAGATGACCCCAATCTTTCTACCTTTCTCACTTGCTTTTTTTCCCCCTTTTATCTTTTTCTCCCATTTTCTTTATTCATTATTTCATTGTTTATTTGAATTGTTTGGGATAATAACAGCGAATTTTGTTGTTTCTATAGTGATCCGCGAAGAAATCCGTTTTATAGAAGAAGGCCTAATGGATAAAGCAAACAATCCAATAAAGGTACATTTTGTATTAAATCATTTGAAATTATTACACTTGCTCCTCATCGAAAGAGAGTGGAACTACTGTAAACCATTTCTGGACTTGCCTTTCAACAATTTTCGTTCGTTACATGGACAAGTTCTTTCGTTACGACGCTCCTCTGAAGAACGATTCATATAATCTTGTCTTCAATCATCTACAGAATGCCCCACACACCCAGGATGTAGTCACTGCAGATGTATGGGACAGACCTTACAGTCGAGAAGTTGCAGCCTTCCCCGCTGTGAGTACAGAATTTTCAATTATTAGAACTTTACTTTCATGTCACGCAGTATTTGTGTTGCCTCATTTGTCGCTCTGTGACTTGTCACGCTTCTCTGTGCCGTAGCACTTCTCACCTTAGTAATTTTGTGCGCGGTCAGCTGTTGAGCAATCTTGACCCGCCGTCAATTATCTTACATTTTTGCTTCATCGAAAATTGTTAGAGTAGAACAAAAACCTACCGTAATACTGAGGTCAAGCGAAATGTTTCTCACCGTTTCTCTCTTGAATGAAAAGAAGACTATCAAGACTTCTGTTGTAAAATTTTATAGAAGTGTACTCTTTTACCCTGAGTGTAAGATTTTCTGGGGGTTTTGGGGGAAGGGGCAGCAAAAGGGTTACCCTTTCCCATTTCCATCACCTTCGGAAAGTTTGCAACTCATACTGACATTTCGTGTCGTTGTTTCGCCAGCCCTGGTTAAAGGGAACTGCAAAATTCTGGCCAACGTGTTCACGAGTGGATGATAGATATGGCGACCAACATCTGGTGTGTTCGTGCCCACCTCTTGAGAGTTACGATTATGAAAAAACCAAGTCTTTTGCTTAAGAATGTTACTGAACAATATAGAGGTGCCATCCTTTGCTCGCTTCCATGAAACCCGTGGGATATTGTGCTTGTCGGTATGTACTTGGGAACATCTGGTTTTGGCGTCTTCAAGAGAACGAACAATTTGACCAAAAATCGACGAAATACACAGAGAATTTAAGTAGTTTTCCAGATTTATCAATGGCACAAACCTGGACATGCTAAATGTTTGCGATATCAGGACGATACCTTGAACGGAAATCAATACGAACTCCTCACTTAGCAAACACGTATGTACTCTCACGAGGTTTTACTCCGTAGAAGATCATAAGATTCTTTTCATAGAAGAAAGCCTTTGAGTCCAAGCTTTCTAGCTGAATTTTCACCAAGATGAGAAGCTTTAATTTTCAGAACAGGAGGGAGCTACGTCACACTACTAAGTTATTTTTGCAACTTTCAAAGTTAACGTTAAATCAAAGGAAAGCTCAACAGACTAGTTTGCTAGGGTAGAACGCATGGAAGTGGTAAAAATAAAATGTTATTGGGGAACAAGGATGATTTGATAATGGAGAAGATTATGAAATGAAAATTGCAAAATTGAAAAACTCAGGCTAAATTTCCATGAACAAATCTTCGCAGAACTTAAGTCACTAAATCTTTGCGGCGACTCTTCAGACATCACCTTCTTTGCTTCTTGCGCAGTAATTTGCGCCCGCGTTGTTTTTTCGGCAGCACGGTCACCAGTTACGTGACGTGTTGGTCTTTTGACGTCACCGTGTGAAGAATCTGCAGTCGTTTAGGTTTGAAAGCGTTTGGGGAATAAAAGTCTCGGGCTTTCGTTATGAGAGGGTTGATTTAATTAAGTAAATGTCCTTCTACTGTTAGCTTTTAGCCTCTTGACACTCTTCACAGTATTAAATGTTCATATAAAAAGTTCAGCTAAATTGAGGATTGTTTAGGACGCGGTTTTGTTAAACAACGGCTAAACTTTGCACCACCACTCGCCGCCATGTTAAAGGCATGCTAACTACGTTATTTTTATTTTTTTTCCCCTGGCGAAGGACTAATACTCGGAAGATTATCCTAAGATTCTCTTGACGGTGATTCACACCTTTATTTCAGTTTTGTAAATCAAAACTAACCAGCTTGACAGAATCTCGCAATTCTCCGCAATGACTGCCATGTTTTTCTTGAAAACACAAAGTGACGGCGCAAAATGCTTGTCGTTATGCAATGGAACTATCCGCTGACAATGTCCTGTGAGATTGCTTTGCAACAAGTTTATAGAGCATCATTTCGACTGTTTTCATTTGAGAGAATATAAGAATAGCTTCCTCCCAACCCCCCCCTACCTTGTCATATACCGTTCCAATATTGTAACATTAAGGTCGAAAAAGTTACCTGTGGTGGATACAAAGTATCGTGGCTTTTGAGAAAGGGATGTAGGACCGGGGAACAACGAAAACAAAAGTATTGGAAAGAATCTCTGTTTGATGTTTTTGTTTTGTTTTGTTTTGTTTTGTTTTTTTATTGATATCTATGGTTTAACACCTAAGTTCAACAAACATTTGAATATGATCAAAAGTGTAAACATGTACTTTTGCGCACCATCATCTACGTTATAGACAAGGGAAAGGTCTCAATAATCAGATTTTAAAAAATAAGAACTCGGCAACTTATCAAACTAAATGAACACGCATTACGATCTTTTCCATTACTATTTTTGTCTACAGTTTTGATTTTTCTGTCAACAGTATTCGTGCAACTATAACTTGTAAAAGAAAATGAACGAGAGGCAGTAGTTTACAAACCATTCTTAGTTCAGTCGAGGAAAAAATTCGTTTTACGTCTATAACCTATAAACTTCCATTTCACTCACCCTGAATGTCTTACCCCCTGTTAAAAACATGTTAGCATTTTGTCCTGATGGACATTGGTAAGCGTTATTCAGATATGTATAGCAGTTGTTGGAGTTTGGTGCATTGGTAACTTGAAGATCGAAATAACTACCACCTCCCAATGTTGGTCCATAACTACTGCAACAATACATAGCAGATCCTTCTTGTCCACTCTTCAAAGGCATCTTTGTTGGTGACAGACCACTCGGGTTGACAAGACTGAACAAAAACGGGTTTTGTGCTCTTTTGTATGCTCCACTACCTGACCACAAAAAAACAAGCCAACCAGGTAAATTTAATGCATACAGAATCTGTCAATTTTAAAATTACGTTGTTCTGCAATCCAATGTCACCACTTTCCTTGAATGGAGCCACAGTGTTGGGTGAGGAATGGTCTTGTGCAACGAGCTGGATGTACGCGTTATGCGAATGGTGATGCCTTAAATCTTAAAGAGCACGGACATACCAGAGGACGTCACAACCAAACTGTTTTATTTTTTAGCACAACGAGAGGTTCAAATTTGAAACAATTTTCCGAAATAACTTTGGAATTTTGACGACCCCTTACAAGCACTTCTTTTGAACTCGATTTCGTTTATCACGTTCCCGAGTTCCCTTCCTTTCCGTTTCCTGGAGCGAAAGATCCGAATTTTTGCAGAGACTCAGGAAAACAACAATTTCAGAAGCAGAGACCCCTCCACAGGATTTCATATTCTTTTTTGGAGTTGTATTGTTTTCTGATGAACGTCCAAGAGGATCTCTCAACTTCCAAGGCTATGGAAAGGAGACACCCCTAGAAACAATGGTGTTTTTTTACTTATGGTAGCGCGTCGCGTCAATTTTTAATGGACAGCAACCTTCGGAAAGCCGTGACTCAAAAGGCGTTAGCCGTGACACGCGAACATCAGTCACACTCGAAACAACGCCAACAATGTTTTAGCGTGCGCGGGTACGTGCTTGTGTTGCGTAATATGACGTCAAACTCAGTGCCTGATTCAGAAACACAATAGCTCATTCGCTCTTTTCCTGTTCTTTACTCATTTTGATGTCCTCTGTGACCGAACAATGACAAATTAAAATGGAATCTAATTGTTGATTGTATTTATTGTCAAAATTTTGATGTGCTTCAAATCCTCAAGGTGGGAATTTATAACAAATTAACAAACTTCTTCTGCACACTCAAAATGTTGGGGGATATTTATGCCTTTTCAAATACTCTGTTGGCATTAATTATTTGAGTATCCTTGTCGTAATTTTCCGACAAGAATTTGAGAAAAACTATAAGGAGAGAACTAGATCAGTGTTTAGAACTTACTATGCCAACTTTGTTCAGTATATCCTCCAAATATGTTATTTCCACTCTTGATCACTGTAACTGTTGGCCCTTTGTAATCACAACAGGAGTGAAAGTTGGAAGAAGCCCAACCATTTCTGGAAGCTCGGTACAACAAAAGCTCATCGCTGTTGGAAAAGCCCGGTGTGTTCTTCAACCAATTCATCAAAGTCTGCCCCTGACTGGACGAGAGAATCACTGAATCCTTGAACGGTTGAACTACATTCGGGATTGGATCTGCTGATGGCGTTGGTTCCAGCTCGTTTATCATTCCTTCGACCTGATAAAATTTGGCCTCTGCCAGCAGTTCTCTGCGAATGATCTCGTCATTAGGGACGATAAGCTCCCCCGTGCGCAGATAATTCAGGATGTAACGAAAGTGGGTTCCGTCTCGATCAATAAAGTAAGATCCATCCTCACCAGGTTTTGTGTCAAATCTGCTTGAAAACATGGCGTGTAACATGGAACCTTTGATAAGGAGCAAAAACATATTTCGCCACGAAATCAGCTTATGTCAAATACGTGCTTGTACACTGTTTAGTGAACCACTTCTAGGTGAGTCGTTAATTTGCCAGTGAATGAGTGATTCCTTGACCCAAACCCTTTAAAAGTTGAAGTGTCACCTCCGTCACGAATCATAAAATATTCGGGCTGTTTATATTTGCCCCTTTAGCGTTTGTCTGCCCACCAAATAATCGAACACCGGCAACTTCCTTTACGGAATTTATTCAGTCAATTCCATACATGGCAAATGCACCGCAACTGATTTCCTCTATTAATTTAGGAGCAAGCGGAAGACTGAATCGTTCGTTTGCGCATGAGTGAATTCTCGAGCCAAACCTTTTGAAAGTGAAAGTTTCAGCTTCCGTCACGGTTCTCATTTTATGTAAAATTTGTCGGACTAGTAGTTGTTCTTCATTCTTCATTTCTCTTCTTTAGTACATCGTTACCTCCTTACTGTTTATATTTTCGGCTACCAAACAATAGAACCACCAGCATTTGGCTTTCGTAGTTTTAAAAACCATGTTCTCGGAATACGTCTTCACAAAGATCACCGAAACTTTCCTGACCTTTCGACGTTCATTTAACAGATATCACTTTATAATATTTTAAGTAACGGTCAAATTACCTGGATCTTTAGTCATGGTCTCTAGACTTGTCGTGAACATATGGCCGCCGACATTCAGTTTCAAAATCTTCGAGAAGTGAACATGTTCAAGCTTCTTCGCCACCTCGTCAAAAGCTTCCTTCTCCTTGCGAAGCTTGTTTGTCTCCCGCTTCAGAATGTTGTGGACGTCATTACGGGCGACGAGCGGGGAAAGGAAAAAAGACCCAAATACGAGTGGTCAGCGGTGAAACAACATTAATAATTCATATAGAGACAGATCATTTGTAGTATCAGGAAACAATCGTGTTGTAAAGCCGAAATGTAAACAGTTTACTTCACTAAATAAAATGTTAAGCAATTTTTCAAAAGTGTTGATTGTACACATATCTTTTACTACTTTAATAAACAGTGAAGGCATCGGTGGCATCCGAAAGGTACCAAGAAGAATTAAATGTACGTTTTGTAGTTGCAGAAAACAATCGTGTTGTAAAGCCGAAATGTTACCAAGTTACACTTCGCTACTTAAAAAGTTAAGCAATTTTCCTCAAGCTTTAACTGGAACAATACTTTTAATGCTCTATTAACCAACGGAGGCATCGGGAAAGGCATTGGTGACACCGGGAAAGGCATCAAGAAGAATGATATTAACGTTATGTAACTTGTTGTGTGACAAAAAAAAAACGTATCTTAACAAAAAGCATTAATCACAGTTGGCTTCCTTTTCACTTGAATTTTGTATCCACAGCCTAAGATAAGAAATTTAAAATTCACCTTTCAGCTGTTTCACTGGCAGCTTAGCGCTTCCGTTCCTAATAACAGCAAAATTCCGATGCGAATTAACGTTTAAACTAACCGTATTTATCAGAGAACTTATGGCCTAACCTTAGCGTTTCAAGATCTAAACGGGTAGTGTTTGCTTCATCATCCTGCGAAACAGTCTTCTGCTCTCCGTCACCACTCGCAGTTAAGTCTGCAACGAACAAGTTGGTTGCCTGAAAAAAAATTGTATTGGTTCATTAGAAAACAGTCATTGATAGATAGTGAAGCTTCCGTAACTTGATGGCCGGATAAAAGCAAGCCTAGCATGAATTTTTAGGGCGTAATACAGATGCGAGTAAAAAACTCAATTGTGTTTCCGATAAGCTGTTGAAACAGTCGTCTGCAGTTTCCCAGTAGATACAAGAAAAATGTTTGATATTTCACAAACATCGAAA